AATTGAGTTTTTCTGATTGTGTTTTGTTTTTCATTTTAGTGCCTGGAACTGAACCCAGGGGTGCTTAACCACTGAACCACATCTCTGACACTTTTTATTTTTATTTTTTGTAGTTGTGTTTGGTGTATGTGTGTGTGTATGTGTGTGTGTGTGTGTGTGTGTGTGTGTGTGTGGTGGGGTGCTGGGGATGGAACACAGGGTCTTGCACGTGCTAGGCAAGTGCTTTAGCACTGAGCTACATCCCAGCCCCCAATTTTTGGAATTTGGTCCTTTGACACTTGCAAGACTGCAAGAGGGGAGCCTGGAGCTATTGGCAGTCATGCACCCTGGGAGAAAATGGGGATGGAGGACAGAGAAGAGGAGATAAGAAATGGGGAAGTAGGAGGTAGGGGTGGTGACTGCAGAGCCTGGGTCCTGGGGCCCAGGGACCAACTCTTTCCACTTTGCTGATGTGAGCCCTGTTGCTTCAGCTAGCTCCAGTTGGGTTTCTGTGACTTACAAGCAAAGAGGGCGCCCCTGAGGAAGGAGACTCCATTCCGGGGCAGGGTCGGGCGCTCAGTGCTTGCTGGAGACCAGTGCCCCCAGAGCTCCCCTTCACCTCAGCTGGCACCTTCTGCAGGGGAGCAGCTGTGCCCACGGTTCAGCTCAAAGCAAGGCCTCCTTGACGTTGAAATATTTAGAGCTTGTAATTTTGGGGGGGGGGAATAGTGAGATGGGCTGCCAACTTCTTATTGGCTTCAATGAGAACCTGAGGAAATACAGAAAGCAGCTCCCAGTCACTTCACTGTCCTTTCAGGCAAGAGGCGACATTGTCCCACCCTGGGGTTGGAGAAGAGTCCCCTGTGAGGGATGGTGCTGTGGATGGTATAAAGCAACGCTGGGAGAGGCCCCACTCTGTGTTCCTGTTTCAGAGATGGGGGAGTGCACACCTGCATGTCACCGGGGTTCAGGGCTATGTCCCCAAAGCAACCGGGACTCAGACCTCCCAGAGAGACACGGAGCCACAGGCCAGAGTTTCTCTTCCCAAACCCTGACAAGGTGCTGTTTTATTAAAATCTAAATCTGGGGGGAAAGCCTCTTGTAGCTGTCAGAGAATTGCCTGGCCCTGAGGTCACCAGAACATTAACCCCTGTCGCTGCATCTGTCTCGCTGGCCAGCTATCTTTCTCCTCCCATGGCTGGTTTGAAGCGCCTGCTCCTCAGCCTGGAGGGTACAGTCCACCCTGATGAGCTTTTCTCTGGTTCATCCTCGGGCCTCAGGTCACCTCCACCAGCTGGGTGGCCTGCCCTCCCTTAGAACTTCCCTGTCCCCTACCCCTTGATTCTCCTGAGCCCTAGAATTGGCAAGAGCCCATATAGTCAATGTTCGTGACTTTGTGGGCCTCGCGGACTCTATTGCAACACTCAACCCTGATGATATTGGGCAAAAACAGCCACAGGCAATTTAAAAACAAATGGGAGAGGCAGAGTTCCAATAAAACTTTATTTACAGCAATTCGCGGAGAGCTGGACTGGCCTGCAGGTCAGCTTCAGAGGCTATTTCAAGACATGTTTAACCCTTTTCTTTTTATTAACGATGCGAATGACATTGTTACCTTTCCCCAGGGGTGCAGGCAGGGGGTATCGAGTTGCTGTAATTTTACTAATAGCCTAGAATCTGGGTCTTCTCTTTTATCTTATTACTGAGAACTTATTTTCTGTGAAACAGGACCCTGATATACGGTGGGATGATATTGTGAACTTTAAATGATTTTTCAAAGCAGGAAATAATTTTGTTGTTGTTGTTGTTTTGGGTACTGGGTATTGAATCCAGGAACACTCTACCACTGAGATACGCCCCCCCCCGCCCCCGCCCTGGTGCTTTTTATTTTGAGACAGAATCTTGATAAGTTGCTTCGGGTCTCAGTAAGTTGCCAAGGCTAGCCTTGAACTTGTGTTCCTTCTGCCTCCGCTTCCAGAGCCACTGGGATTACGGGCCCGAGCCACCATGTCAGGCTCAAAGCAGGAGATAAACTTAATGTTCTCATTATGGGTTGAATTTATCCCTCCCCCCAACTCTCTAGGTTGGAGAATGTGATCTTGTTTATAAATAAGATCCGATGTATAGTTGAGATGAGGCCACCCTGGCTTAGGGTGGACCCTGATCCAATACAACTAGCATCTTTATAGCAAAGGGAAGTTTGGACCCAGACACAAGGAAATAAGGAAATGCCATGTGACCATCAGAGAGATGCTGGCACAGGCTGAGGAGCTCCGAGAAGCTAGGAGAGGCCTGGACAGATTCAGGCCTGTTCTGCCTCCTGCAGAGGGGAGCACAGCCCTGCTGACACCCAGCTCTCTGACTTCCAGCTCCAGAACTGGGAGACAATTCCTTTGGCTTAAGCCACTCAAATGTGCTGCTTCATTCAAAGGCCAGAGCACTTGGAAGGGTCCTCTAGCTTCAGAGATGGGGCAGCACTGGGTCTCCCTGGGGACTGGGCTGCAGGCTGGATGGAGCCTGGTCTTGTGTTCTGATCAACATCTCCTCTGCCTCCCTGGCTGGGGCTCTCTTCTTTAATCCTTAAGGTATTTTTTCTTTTTTTGCATTATTTAAACACTTCTAATTCCTGCTGATTCCAGGACACAAGGAAATGGTCCACCCTGTGGTGGAGTGAAGATAGATGTGATCACACCAGGAGATCTGTTCTGTAAGGCAAGCATTCTTTATGTCTCTCCGCTGTAAGCCCACACGGGAGCCTTCTGTTTAGGCCCAGGGAAGGAGAGACTCACTCACACCTCTCCCTTAAAACGTGTACTGGGGACACACCCTTGGAAGGTAAAATTCCTCCGTGCACACCTGGATGAACAGTAGCTCACTCATTCTTCTGCCCTTCCTCCACTCTTCCACAAACATCAACAAGAGTTCTCTCCTCAGAGTTTCACATTGGCTTCCTAACATTTTATTGCCTGAGCCTGTGGTGAAAGCGTTTGCTTTGGGGGTCAGCAGTTCCCAGATGGCGCATGGATTAGCTGAATGGCTACTTCTATGGGGCCATGGAAATTTCCCATATGCTGTAAACCCAGCATGAAGTAACAGGTTTGGGGTCATATTAGGAAACCTGGAATTGAATGCACTTGTGGAGTGGCCTCTGAGGTTATCGCCTACTTGTCATTATGTACGGGCAGCTGTGTAGTGTGGTGGAACAGAACATGCGCTTCAAGTCAGGCAAACATGACCTTGAACCCCAGCTCTGTTTCTTAGTTACCTAACTTCTCTGTGCCTGAATTTGCTCATCTTAAAGTAGGAATCACAATACTACCTTACTTAGTTATGAAATTTAATGAGATTGTGTGCCTAGAGGATCTGACCTTTGGTGGACACTCAGCAATGCGGGCTACCATTGCTACCATTATCATTTCCTTTGCTAGAAGTTGACTCAGAAATCAGTCACAATACTCTAAAGCTCAGTGGGAAAAAGTGCCTTCAAAGGGTCTTAACAATTTGGATTTGTCACTGGTTTAGTGACCCTGAAATTAGTATTTTTTTTCATCATCTGCAATTACTTTTGAACAGTGCTGGGTACTTACCACCTGAACTCTGCCCTCCGCCCCCCAGTTCCAATCCATTTGGACAGAAGACAGAGGATGTTTTGCTTGATGGAAAGCTGGACTTGGAATAAGGAAAACTGGTCTCTAATCTCTACTCTGCCATTTACAAATGATGTGATATTTGGTAAATCAACATTGGCTTTGCTTCAGTTTTCTCAGCTGAAATATGAAGTGGTGGAACTAGATGTGTTTTAAAGAATTTCGAGGCAACAATGATCCTTTGTCTATTTGCAGAATAGATTAAACTGTTTGGGGTGCTGGAGATGCAGAAGTCAACAAGATGGACGAGGTCCGGCTCTCTGGGGGTTTACATTCCAGTGTGGGGACAGAGGTAAACAGAACGTGTGAGAAGACAACTAGTCTGTCAGACGGGGTTGGGCCGTGGAGAAAGCACAGCTGGGAAGGGGCACAGAGAGAACTGGCGCATGATGGAGAGTTGACTGTAATTTAAAACAGCACGGCCAAGGACGGCTCATCCACCCAGGCCTTAGAGGTGGCAAGGAAGCCAACCGTGTGGCTGCCTGGGGAATGCCTTCCAGGTAGATGAAATGGAAAAGATTTGAGAAGGAGGCACGCCTGGCACGGGTGGAGGAAGAGTGAAGGGCTGGTGTGATGGAAAAGAACGAGGAGATGAAGTCAGGGAATGATGTCACGGAGGCCAGGTCCTACAGGGCCCCAAGGCCATTGTACAGATTTGGCTTTTGCTGTCAATGAAATGCCATTTGTTGCTGGTGACATGCTCTTGTGTTCCAGAAGGATTCCTCTGGCTACTGGGTCCATAAGGGAACAGACACAGGACAATAGTTGAGATGGGAAATGATGGTGGTTTGGACCAGTGTGGGCAGTGAGCTGGAAAGAAGGGGTAAGTGTTGACAAGAAGGAAGAGCTACAAGATTTGCTATTGGATTACAAGTTGAGGAGGGGGAAGGGAGGAGGGGG